GCTACCTCATCCCAAAGATGATCAACTTTGGTTAAGGAAGTGCATGCAAATATGCAGGGAATTCTCACTTCTAAGCACAACATAGGAAGAGAGAAAGGCTGGAATTTTGCTCACAAAATTACAGAAAGAGAGAGAGAGAGAGAGAGAGAGAGAGAGAGAGATTTAGAGAGAGAGGTTCCCAAACTTGTTCACCTTTCAAAATGTTCTCCCCCCCAAACCATAGAGAATGGCCTCTATATATAGCAAAAAGAGAGCCTTGGGTCGGAAATATCTGATTTAGAGACAGCTGGAGCATTTGGAAGACAGCTGGAGCAAAAGATCTGCAAATTCTAAGCTTTTTGAGCATTTTTGGCCGACCGGCCATCTTTTTGGCCAACCTGCTACTAATGATGGCCGACTGTACACATTTGTGGCCGACCAGCCACTACCAGTGGCCGACAGCAAAATCTGCTTTTCAAGTCCAACTTCAAACGGGCATAACTCCATCATCTGGACTCCTTTTCAGGTCATTCTTATGTCCAAATTGAAGCCCATAAGTATTCTTTCTAATGGTGGTAGCCTCACATCAAAATTCTAACTGTGAAAAATTTATGCCTTTTTTAGTGAAGGATGCTCAGTTTTGATCCAAATGAATTGATGCCCAACTTCCAACAACCATATCTCCCCCATCCAGACTCGATTTTAGGAGATTCTTGAGTGAAAAATGAAGCCCCAGAAGTCTTCTTTCCAACGGTGGTGGCCTTATAGCTTAAATCCAAGTATACAAAAGGATAGGCCTGATTTAGTGAGGGCTGCTCGATTCTGTCTTAACAGTTCATGCCCATCTTCTTCCCCAACTTGGTATCTTCCCTCTGCTCCTCTTTTCTTCAAATCCAAACCTCTAAACAAGATGTTTTGGAAGATTTTTCAAAGAGTTCACCTCTCTTTCATTCATTTCCACTTTGTCCTTGCCCGGTTTACCGAAAAGCGTAACATTTAACAAAATGCAAGGGTTGGAACATTGTAGGAACTTTATTTCAAAAATATTTTGAAAGAGAAGGTTTTAAGGTCTAAAAACCATTCAAAATAGCTTTGGTCCAAAAAGGGGTGTGAGGTTAGGATTTGACTCTCCTCTTGTCAAAGAAATTGAACCTTTGCATTGCACACCTTTCATCACCATTGCACACCTTTCATCACCAAGTAAACAATCAATAGAGCCCAAGTCTTAAGGGCGATCAAAAATGGGGTTTCTACACCAAGTCGAGATCATTGGTTAGCCATGGGAAGAATTATGAGATATTTATCTGGAACCAAAAATTATGGTTTGTTTATAACAAGTATCCTACGATACTTAAAGGATATAGTGATGCCGATTGGAATACTTTGTCAGGTGATTCTCTCTCTACCTCGGGTTTTATTTTTACCTTGGGTAGTGGTGTTATATGTTGGAAGTGTAAAAAACAGACTATAATTGCTAATTCTACAATGGAAACTGAGCTTATAGTGTTAGCTTCAACATGTGAGGAAGCGAATTGGTTGAGAGATTTGTTACATGAAATCCCTGTTTGGGAAAAATCAATTCCTCTTGTGTTAATTCGTTGTGATAGCACTACTAATATTGGTAGAGTGAACAACGATTTTTATAATGGTAAATCCAGAACTATTCGAAGGAAACACAGTAATCTGAGATCCTATTTGAGTAATGGCATCATAACTGTGAATTATTTAAGATCTTGTGATAATCTTGCAGATCCATTAACCAAGGCCTTGGCGAGAGATAGGGTTTGGAATACATCGAGGGGGATGGGTTTAAAGCCTACATAATCATAAACCATGTATGAGGATACCCAACCTAGGGACCAGATATCCTGTAACTAGGTTCAATAGGAAGAACAAACCATATGGTGGTTGTAAAAAATGTACTCCTTAATATTTTGTTATCCATCCCTATGATATAAGTGCATTTGTCCTGTAATGTTGGAGGGTTAAGTTTGTATACTCTTAATGAAATTATGTAGCTCTTGTTGAGTGGAGTGTGTCAATTACAGGAACATCCTTGATAGATTTCATCTATGTGAGCATGAAAGTGGGGCCGCTATCTATGAGAATAAGGCTTATTCTCAAATATGCTCATGAAAACTAATAGAGACACGCAGAAACGCTACCATGGGAGCACCTATGTGATATCCAAATATTAAATCACTTATTGATCAAAGGTGGAGATCGACTACACTTAAAATCAAGTCAAATAAGAGAGAATTGATCATTGATTGGCTTCCGTGATACAAATTTAATGATTTTAAAATTTTGATTGTCCAATCAACATACACGAGGTCTATTTTTTTTTTTTCCTTTCGTAACAAATCAACTTGTAACTATAACTTGTTCATGGAAGTTAATTACATACTATATATTAATTATAAAATTGAATGGAACATAGAATATATAGAAAATGAACAAAAATTTGTTATAACTTATTTTTGAAAAATTCTAACAATATAATTTTTGTGTTTGATTTTTTTATATGATTTACGTGTTATTTCATCTTATGATGTGTTCCAAGGGAGGATGGAGTGTGCCTGACACGTGACACGTCAGCATGTGCTCGAGCATACGAGCAGCAAGCATACTTTGGGCTTGTGTATTCCATGCACGCCACACGCACTACATACCTCTCTCCCTCTCTCTCTCTCTCTCTCTCTCTCTCTCTCTCTCTCTCTCTCCATAATTTTTTTTTTTTTAAAAAAAAAAACTCTCTCTCTAGTAAGCACTTACTATTAATGATAAATTAAACTTTTTACTTTAAATTTTTACTCAAATCAAATTTCATTTTGATTTCTTGTATTTTAATTACAATAATTAAGTTTGTAAATCTTAATTTATATTTTAATGTGATATTCATGTCACTTTACAAAAATAATTGAAAGCTCTAATTTTGAAGCTCTAGGAGTTCTAATAGTGGGATCCACCGTGTGATGTGATGCTTTTTTTTTTTTCGATGTCATATCACTAGAACTCAAATTAAAACTCTAGTTTAGAGCTCTTAATTATTACTCGTCATTTTATTACGTGAAATTTGAGTAAAAGTTAAAATATTTATACTAAGTCTTCAGATTTTTAACCCATATTTCAATTAGGTCTTTGTGTTGCTCCACTGTCTGAAATTTAAGAGAACGTTAGAATATGAGAAAACCAAAGTGAAAATTGAATTGAAAATAACTTGTCTCTGATTGAGCAGAGATAGGAGGTGTTGTTCGAGCATTGATTGTGCCACATCGATCTTTTTTCTTTTTCTCTCTTTTTTTTTTTTTTTAATTAATGGTTTAGATTTTGTCTACCCATTAATTCATTAAATATTGGATCAGATTTTGTACTTGAATCTAATATTAAGTTTGTAAGTGTAGAAAAAACCTTAACCATTAATTTATAAATAAAAAAGAGGATAAATTACTAATAGGTCCTAATAGTTGGACTTAATTCCAATCAAATCCTATTAAAAATAAGTCTTAATAAAATCATCACTAAAAATAATTTTTTGTGACTATTTTTTGCATATGTCTTTAAAAATTGATAATTAATGACTTTTTTTTTTCATGATTTTTATAACTTGTAACTAAAACTTACAATTATTGATATTTTTGAAAATTGAAAATTAGTAATTTTTTTTGTGATCATTTTTTTTTAAATTGTCTTTAAAATTTATAATTAGTAATATTTTTTGTGATTAAATTTTTTAATTGTCATTAAAAATTAATAATTAATGACTTTTTTAATAGTATTTATTTAATAAAAACATTATTAATTGTCAAAAATCATCCTAAAAAAACGCTGAATAAGAATATTAAATTTAGTGGTAAAGATAATGACAGAATGTGTAATTCTACTAACAAAAGGAAATAATGTTGTTAGGAAAGCGTGTCAATCATTTGTTGAGACAAAAAAAAAAAAATTCATGTACTTCTAACGATTATTTCTTATTCCAACAGTAAAATGTTGGGTTAAAAGCAAATTAGTAGTTGTCAAAAATCTCTCTCATACATGTACACACTAGTACACATAAAGTGACAAAGTAGCTATTTGTTTAAAAAAATAAATCTGTCGTTTTCCTAATCATTTTTCTTACAAAATAAATTTCCAAAGTCGGCAAGACAAACCAATTTTTAATATATATATTTTGTTACTTAATGCATGCTAAGGTGTAAAATTACATGATTATCAATATCGTATCATATTAATTTATTATTATTTTTAAATGATTTGTAAATAAGAATTTAAAAATAAATTAATCGAATTATTAAAGTGGACGGTGTGACAATTTGTGACCTAAAATTATAAAATAAACATATCAAATTATTAAAATAAACTATGTGACGTGTTGGCAAGAGCCCAACATACAGTTTATGACATAAAATTATAAAATAAACATATCAAACTATTAAAATAAACTATGTGACGTGTTGGCAAGAGCCAACAACACAATACAATCTTCTCTCCCAACTAAGGGGAAAAAATGATCTTTCTATAAGAATTCTCCTACTTCTATAAATGGGACACAATTATTTCACATATAATACAAGACCCATCTATATGAGAATATATTATTTTGTTCTGATTTTTAAAAATTTAATTTTTTTTATTTTTCGTGTTTTTTTTTTGTTTTAGTAAATATTTTTAATATTTTAAGTAAAGTTTTTACTTTTTAGATATACCTAAAAAGTAAAATATTTTAAAAAATCAATAAATATATAAAAATACGAAAATATATTGAATTTTTATATTTTTTGGTATTTAGTAAAAAAAAATTAAAAATTCATAAATATTATATTTTTAAATTGTATTTATATTAAGTGTATTTAAAAAGTTAAAAAAAATTCTCAAAATATTAAAAAAATTCACTAAAAATTAAAAAAAAATGAAAAAAATAATTCAATTTGAAAAAAATAAAAATCAGGAAATTAATAAAAATCAAACATTGCGTTAGGATTTTTTTTATTATAAATACTGTCATGATCATCTCACTTTCTTATCAAACTAACTTTCAACCCTTCCAAAACAAACTAACAAACACCAATATGCTAGCTTTGTCCTCTTCTATGTTTTCAACCTTTGGGTGGCCCTTAGAGGAGGACCTCATAAGCCATGAACAACACAACAACAACAACAACACTATCTTCTACATAGAAGCAGAAACTTCAGATCAATCTTTTCTTCACTTTCCTCCTCCTCCTAATTTGTCTCAGCCCTTAGCAAATTCAAGTGAATTCAAGCTTTCAAACGAAGTTTTTGGAGATGCAACAATGGCTAAAAAGCTTAACCATAATGCAAGCGAACGTGATCGTCGTAAGAAGATTAACAGTTTGTACTCTTCCCTCCGCTCTCTCCTTCCTGCAGCTGATCAAACGGTAACAATAATTTTTTTTTAAAGCAGTGTTTATACTCCAAGAATAATGACCTTCAAAAAACAATTATTTTTTATTTTTGTTTTGGAAATAGCATTTAAGTGGTGAATTAGAAGAAAGAATTTGGCTTCTCCTCTCTTCATGCCTTTCTGAAATTTTATAATAGCAGTATGTCAGGTCAGTAACAAGGCTGTATATAATTACATGATCTAAAAAATATGAATAATATGAGAATCAAGCACACAGATGTGGTATTTCGGAAAGACTATATAAATTTCCATGTTAGTCGGAGGAGAGAAAGTTTTGCATATGAAATGATTTATTTGACCTTTTATTTAAGTGTTAGAATTTTGGCAAAGTAAGATAGTCTCAATCAATTAAGAATTTAGTTCCTCTCTAGTTTTAGTGGATTGGACTGTCTAGTCCCATCGGCAGCGCTCACCACAAGCTCCACTTTGATAATTTGCTTTGTTGGTTTTTTTATGCCCCAACATGTAAAATCTATGAAAAACAAATCAAATTGCAATAGTGGTAGCTATATAATTTTATCATCTTTATCTTCAAGAAAATGGACAAGTATGATCTTGCAAATAAACTGTTAATGGTTTTTTAAACACCAAGAAAATAAAATCAGGCGATACAATTATTAGACCAGTTAATTTGAATTTTTATGAATTATCTATACAGTGGGATCTAAAAATGAACAAAACAAATTATCAAAATGAGTCCATGGAGCTGGATTCTTAGCTAATGACATTCAACAACAACTAAAATAGTTTTCTTTCATAAGCCTATTAAAATCCCCCACAAAAAAAAAGAAGATATAATTCCCATTTAAAATCCAACGCATACTGGCGAATTAAACTATATATTTTTGATTGATTACAGAAGAAGCTAAGTATCCCAACCACAGTATCACATGTATTAAAATACATACCAGAGCTACAAAGTGAATTGGAAAGACTGGTTCTGAAGAAGGAAGAGCTAATTTCAAGGATTAATTCTAGGCAACGAGAAGATTTATTATCTCATATTGATATTGAAAAGAAAAGAAAATGTGCAACTGGGAGCCCTTTATCTGCTGTTTCAGCAAGTCCACTTGGAGATAGAGAATTTGTGATTCAGATTTGCACAGTTAAGCTCAATAATAGTCCACTCTCTGAGATTCTGCTAAATTTGGAGATGGATTATGGACTACTTCTGTTGAATGCCTCTTGCTTTGAATCTTTTGGAGAGAGGGTTTTCTACAATCTCCATCTTCAGGTACTTCTCTCTTCTTCTTTTTTTTTTTGGCAAATTATATCAGTAGTTTCTGTTTTTTCCTTTGTGTCATATTAATTCTTATTATTTCAATTAGCTTGATTTTAACTTTTAATTTTAGATTGTGTCGATTTAGTTCAATTGATAACGCCAATTACCATTTTTGAAAGAAAATAGTCACTAAATTAGTTGACATTAACTCACCAAACTGAACAAGTTTACGATTTTGCCAATAAATCCATGATACATGTAACTCATGTGCACATTTTCATCGAAAAAATACTAAAAACTATAACCAATTGAATTAAATTAAGACAAAATTATAAATCATGATCTAAATTGAGTTACTTAAAATTATAAGGACCGAAATAACACAAGAATCAAAATGCAGAAACTACTAGTATAATTTGTCCTCTCTTTTAATGGCAAATGCTTACGAGTACTATGGGACATTATTTAATATCGAGATTGAGATGGAAAGTTCTTTGTAAATAAGTAAAAAAGTTAAAAGGATTCTGAAATCAATGAAAATTGTTTTGAATTACGTGAAAATTGTCTTGTGCCCCCCCCCCAGGCATGTTAGAAGGACCTTAATTTTATTTTGATTACTAGTTTCCGGTAACTTAAGTTTTGCAATTCAGATTCCTTATAGAAATAACCAACCACGTAGTTTTCTTAACATGAATAAATAAAGAAATCATTTTTTTTAAATGACAATTTTTAGTTAAGCTCAAATCAATAAAATATGTTGACATGCAAACAGTCGAAAATAGATTTTACTAAACAAAATTAATTACCGAAAATAGATTTTACTAAACAAAATTAATCACACTATCACTAAATTAATTGTGGAGTTTTTAAATTTTTTAAAAAAAAACTTCTTGATTATAACAAAATGGTATGCTAATGTTTTGTTTCTTGATTTGGATATTGAATTCAACAGGTGCAAGGAAACCAAAGGGTGGAGATTGAAACGTTAAGAGAGAAACTCTTGTTCTTGTATGAAAAGAGTGGAGAACTTTTTTCTTGAGTTTTTGGCCCTCGACAAATGTAATAAGAGGTTCTTGTAAATTTTTAAAATCATGCAAGAAAATGTACAAAGTATGACAATAAAGAAGACAAAACATTACTAGTTTTTATGAAAGTTCACTTTCTTAAGTCCAAGTTATAAATGCATGAACATATCCAATTGTTGAACTTTATTTTGTTGTAAGAAAAATCTTGAGAAAATTGAAAACTAAGAAGATGTTGAAATTGAAGAAAACACTAGTAATAAAATAAAACGCAAATTGTTGTTTAAGATTTTGAATTTTTAAATTTATTGGAAATCTAAAATTACCACCTAAATGGCGTTTAATTTTTAATAATCAAAACATCTAAACATTGCTTAATAGAAAATAAATATTAAAGAAGAAGGCTTGTTCATAGGTTTAATTCCTATTAAAATAACTAATGATATCAAATTATGAATTTACATTTATTATTTACGTTCACATAAAATGATTATATTTCTTTCAACTATTAGACACACTGACCTATCGAATAATTTCTATGTTTATAATGTTTTATAATCTAAAAATCATTAGACAGGTTAAGAAGATCACGTGACTGTATGCCCATCCAATAATGTATTGTTATTTCTCTACAATTTTCTTATTTGTAAGTTCATATAATTGTTAGACTCATTATTAGTTGAGCACACCATCAACTTCAAATTCTTGAAAGACATAATAGCCCTGTTTGGTAGAGCTGTGGGAAAGTGCTTGTAGCTTATGCTTAAACAGCTTATAACTTATAACTATGAACATAAGCTGATTTCTGACTTATTCTTAAAGCATTTCCTGCCCCACTCAAAGAATAAGCTGATTTCTGACTTCCAAAAAGCTATAAGCTATAAGCTATAAGCTAAACCAAACACATCAAAATAGCTTAAATTAAGCTGAAAGCTGAAATAAGCTGATTATAATTTCTGCCAAACAGGCACAATAACTACTCATTGTAATCAATTTCTAGATGGACAAGTGTTGATGTGGCAAGTCCTAATTGGCCCACTTGGCAATATGTTATTGGGCATAATTCTAAATTAGACGAATGGGCTATTTCAGTAAACCACTGTGAGTCACTAAGGCATAAAGAGGGGGATTCTATTTGAATCCAAAATATGTTTCAATATGCCTAATTTAAATTTATAAATTTTAATTCTTAATATATTTTAATATGACTTTACTAATAAAGACAACACATATTAAATTTTAAAATAAATATTTTTTTTCTCATGGTGCACTCTAATTAGTTATTCCTATTCCTATTCAAATCTTTGTATCTTCTTCTCCAAAAGATCAAAGTTATTTCTTCTTCTTCTTCATCCTCCCTCCAAAACTCCAATCCATCCTACCAAAACTCACCATCATTATTTTTTTATTATTTTGAAATCCTAAACCCTAAACCTTAGAAGAAAGTTTGAACAAAATCAAATAATGGATGAGAGTAATAATCAAAATAGTTTTTTGAAGCAACCCATCAAAAAAGAGATAAGTATTCATATAAAGGGTTTCACAATTTTTGTAGAGCACCATTAATTATTTTATATATCGTTTTTTGACAAAAATTAAAGGACGTAGTAATTAAATTAACAATAACATATTATTGGAGTTATTTTTAGTTTGTCATTTAAATGGTACATTATTTGAGAACTACTCATTCTTGTTAGTTTTGGGTTTTTTTGTGCGTATAAGTTTGGCTTTTACTGTTCCACGAGCATTCTTGTAGATAATTTATAACGTAAAAGTTTTTTTTTTTTTTTTTGTATTGAAAAGTTTTATAATGATCATGTAAAAGTTTGGTTTTTTCTGTATTTATAATACTTATGTGCTTATAAGTTTGTGTTTTATTTTCTGTATTTGAGAATTATTTTCTGTATTGAAAATATTTGAAATAATTTAATTTTTTTTAGTTTGTTTATTATTTATTATTTGGGTTTACCTTGAGAGTAATTTGAGAAAAATAATAGAGTCTAATGAGAGTAAAATAAAATTTTAAATAATCAAATAGAGTGTACTTAAGAATTGAGAGTACTTAATGATTTTTTTTTGGTGTAAATAGAATCCCTCCAAAAAGAGGTAAGACATATGATTAGTCCAATTGCCAACTTTAATGGTCTCACCATTTGTATTTTTTTCTGTTAAATTTTTTGTTTTTGCATTGGGCTCTCCAAAATTATTTTAATTAATCAACCTATCAACATTTAACATTTAGCATTAACGTTTAACGATCAACATATTTGGTGCAATTTATTATAAGTTAAAAGTAAATAATTGAAAAACATAAGTCAAAAGTACTCATCTCCCATCTTTCAGATAATCTTTTTTTTTTATTTAAGTTATTTCTGCTAATAAGCTATAAGTAAACATTACAACAAACAATTTAACATAAAATCCCAATATAAGAAAAATTATAAATAATTCATATAAATTGCACCAAACAATCATCACGCGTAAACATTGCAATTATCATTGGCATTCGGATATTCTCAGCATTGGGATTAATTGGCACATAACCCAATGGGCTTTCTCAAATTCATTGACGGCCCATAAAAATGATGGGTTAATAAAAGCAACTATTCAACCCAAGAGAGCCATTTTAGCAATTCAAAATCCTTTGGCTTAAAAGGTCTTTTTCTTTTTTCTTTTTTTTTTTAAATAAAAAAAATAAGGTAAACCTACCGTTACATTATTAATCTTTGATCTTTTTTAACGTTACGTCTTTAACGCTTGGCTCTATGATTTGTTTTTTTTAGGGTATTCATTTTAAACAGAATCTATATTATTTATAAATTGTTAATAACCGATGTACAAAAAATATATCGAAATGTGTTATATATATATCTAAAAATATTTTGAATTGTGCAAACTTTTTTTTATATAATAATTTTAACTTTTAACCACTGAAGGCAATAGTAACAGACTTATTTAATTTTTAGGAATTACCGTTTTAACTAATAAAAAAATAAAAAGTAAAAACTTACTACACATTTTAAATAGAGATATATAATACACATCTAACTTAGTTAGAGAAGATTTACCCAAATGAAAAAAATAATTAGCGTGTTTGCTTTGAGTTTTTTGGATTAAGTTTTTTGAAAATTGAGTTTTTTGGTTTTCGTATTCTTTTGTTTTTAGTGAATATTTTTTAAATTTTAAACCATTTTTTTACTTTTTTTAGATGCATCTTAGTTTGATGTATCTAAAAAGTAAAAAATTTGTGAAAAACATATTTTAAAACATTAATAAATACATAAAAATACAAAAAAATGTACTGAATTCTTGTATTTTTTTTTGTATTTTTGGTATTTAGTGAATTTTTAAAAGATTTTTTTTACAATTTTTTTATTTTTTAGGTGTATTTATGTTAGGTGTGTCTAAAAAGTAAAGAAATTACTTAAAATATTAAAAAAATTTAGTAAAAACAAAAAAACACGGAAAAAAAGAAAGTAGAATTTTCTGAAAAGTGTTTTGGAATTTACCAACTTTAATGGTCTCACCATTTGTATTTTTTCTGTTAAATTTTTTGTTTTTGCATTGGGCTCTCCAAAATTATTTTAATTAATCAACCTATCAACATTTAACATTTAGCATTAACGTTTAACGATCAACATATTTGGTGCAATTTATTATAAGTTAAAAGTAAATAATTGAAAAACATAAGTAAAAGTACTCATCTCCCATCTTTCAGATAATCTTTTTTTTTTATTTAAGTTATTTCTGCTAATAAGCTATAAGTAAACATTACAACAAACAATTTAACATAAAATCCCAATATAAGAAAAATTTATAAATAATCATATAAATTGCACCAAACAATCATCACGCGTAAACATTGCAATTATCATTGGCATTCGGATATTCTCAGCATTGGGATTAATTGGCACATAACCCAATGGGCTTTCTCAATTCATTGACGGCCCATAAAAATGATTGGTTAATAAAAGCAACTATTCAACCCAAGAGAGCCATTTTAGCAATTCAAAATCCTTTGGCTTAAAAGGTCTTTTTCTTTTTTCTTTTTTTTTTTAAATAAAAAAAATAAGGTAAACCTACCGTTACTTATTAATATTTGATCTTTTTTAACGTTACGTCTTTAACGCTTGCCTCTATGATTTTTTTTTTTAGGGTATTCATTTTAAAGAGAATCTATATTATTTATAAATTGTTAATAACCGATGTACAAAAAATATATCGAAATGTGTTATATATATCTAAAAATATTTTGAATTGGCAAACTTTTTTTTATAATAATAATTTTAACTTTTAACCACTGAAGGCAATAGTAACAGACTTATTTAATTTTTATGAATTACCGTTTTTAACTAATAAAAAAATAAAAAGTAAAAACTTACTAGACATTTTAAACACAGATATATAATACACTTCTAACTTAGTTAAAGTAGATTTACCCAAATGAAAAAAATAATGTTTGGTTTGAGCTTTTGGATTAAGTTTTTGAAAATGAGTTTTTTAATTCTTTCGGGTTTTTTTATTTTTAGTGAATATTTTTAAAATTTTAAATATTTTTTTATTTTTTTAGATGCACCTTACTTAGATGTATCTAAAAAGTAAAAAATTTGTGAAAAACATATTTTAAAACATTAATAAATACATAAAAATACAAAAAAATGTACTGAATTCTTGTATTTTTTTTTGTATTTTTGGTATTTAGTGAATTTTTAAAAGGTTTCTTTCACAAATTTTTTACTTTTTAAGTATATTTATGTTAGGTATGTCTAAAAAGTAAAAAAAAAAATTTGTTTAAAATATTAAAAAAATTCAATAAAAATAAAAAAAATACGAAAAATAAGAAAGTAAAATTTTCTGAAAAGAGTTTTTGGAAACTCTAACCAAGAGAAGACTGCCAAGTCTTTCACAAGCCTCTGATTGAAATTTTAATTAGATCGAAATAAAATGGATATATTTTATTGGTGCTTTATGGTCTTAAGTTGGAGCCAAGTCGGTGTACTGATTATAAAATAAACAAATATTATTCTATTATAATTTTCATATAGAATCATTCATCAGGGACATTATTGATATTAAAATATTGATGAATTTTTTTTACTCTATCCAATTTATACATTTTATGTATGTAAATTTTTGTTAAAAAAA